AGGCGGGTTGTAATTCATATTAGGGGAAGCGATTTCTATATGCTATTTCTAGCTACAAAACTTCTCTAGCCAACACTTTCCATTTTCGTATTGCTTTATTGATTTTCTGGTTGAGTATCGTACATAGCTTTCCTAAAAGTCTACGAGCATCTTATTTTGGACCAACAAATATAATAACACGTGAAATAAAAAATTCAACCTTAAACCAATTAAAATGAATTGAATTGACTAGGAATTTTAAATGCATGTATAAGTAGATGATCATATCTCGGAGGAGCATGATGACATGTAAATTGATGATGATGATGAACACTTTTTCATTATGTTGACTTTTAAATTATCTTGACTTATTATTGGTGGACTCTAGATTTTAGTCAGGCTATCTATTTGCGTTTATTAATGTTAAACATGTTTTTTTGTTGTACTTTTGACATATTATAGTACCGTTAAGTTCAACGTGTGGTTTTAAATTTTGTAATTATGCGACTTTCCTTAATTTGTGTTATACTCAAAAAAATATGTATGCCTTATGTTTATACGGTATACATATTTTAATTAATATACGTCATTTGCCTCAGATGCATGCAATACCAGCCGCCTTGAATCGTGAATGTGTTGAGCCTCAGAAAAATTTGGCTCGACTCTGGGGCAAACGAATGTACCCAAATAGTGGGTCAAATATCTAAATTTGAGCCATTACTTTGTCACACACATGCCATATACAAGGGCGGACATACAGCATAGCTAGGGTAAGCATAGGCTATACCTCAAAAAGTGTTGTTAGCCTAAGTGTGCTGGAGGTGGGCGTTATTGGGTGTGTTCTCGAATAACAAAGAAGCGTTTCAGAAGAGTTCTGTCCGAGGGCTACAAGACGGGGGATTGATACTCCCTGGTGCTACACGTGAGTTTCGTTTTTTTGCTATCCTCAGTTTTCTTGAAATAGCTAATGTGGGCTTATGTGGCCATACACCTTCTATTAATTTATTATGGACCATATGGGATGATGGATTTGAGGTCCAAATGTCCAACATCTTTAAATATTCCCCTTTTAAACCTAATCGGCAACTTATCTCAAAAAGTATAGAACAACTTTGACTTCCTTTCGTTTTAGGTTTTTTAATTCTTGGAGCTACACACCGTCTCCGGCCACCATCTGTATGGCCTTCCCCTTGAATCGACCTCCAGTCGCGTCGGCTACCATAGTCGTCGCCCTTACCACCGGACCCACAACCTCCGGCTTCCACCTCCATGGTCTCTACCTCCACCACCTCCATGGAACGACCTCCAACCACCAGGCCTCCAAAGAAGAAAGAGAAAAAAAAAAGAAAAAAGGAAAAAGGAAGAGAGGAAAAGGAAAAAATAGGAAATAGTAAAAAATGCCAAATGGAAGTCCACATAGGCGGTCAACCTATTAAATAGTTGATTTGGTTGTTTTTTTGATAGTTCATAGACGTGATTGACTCAAATAAAAAAACACGTAGAGTCAATTGACTTTTTTTAAAAGTATGTGAACCTTTTTGACAGTTTTCCCTCGTAAGAAATTCTATTTGTGTAAACATGATAGATTGACATGTGTAGATGACCAAGTGTCCGCACATATTTCTTCAAAGCCTTTTGCAATTCAGAGTAAACAATCTTTTGGCGATTCAGATTTTACATTGACCCCGATGCTTGGATCCGCCACTGCCCATATAGACTCAAAATCGATATCCAAGTCAAGTCTGAGTCAAAATTACTAGTTTTGGAAATTTTGTGAAGGAATCCTAACCAAGATCTTAGCCAAATAAGCTTTTTTCACAATTCCAATAAATTTAGAATATGTTTTGCATGCCAGTTCATGTAAGTCTGAGCTGAAATTCGTTCAAATAATGCAACTCTTTGGTCTAGCAGTATAGGCTTATTCAGGGAAAAGGGGCAAATAAGCCCTCGAACTAATCGAAAAAGTGCAAATCATCCCTTTTATAGGAGACTTTGTTCGGTCGTCGTCGTTTGGGGCAGTTATCGGTGGAATTTTTTTTGATATTTTTTTTGAGCATCTTCTTCATTAAGTCTAGTTTACCCATACCAGATTTCAGCTAAAAATGCAATCGGGAAGGCAGTCAAATAAATGTTTGAAAATAACTGTGCAGTTAAACTGCGCAGTATATTTCAGAAAATCATTTGACTGCCTTCGCAGTTGAATTTGTTGAAGATTATTTTATTGTGATTCAAGTTTGTCAAAAGTTTTGTAATAGTTAGCTTATTTATAACCTTTTATGGTATTATTCCTTTTGTTTTAAATAGGCTTGAAAAGGAATGTGTCCAAATATGTTAGGCTCATATCCCTAGGTTTACCGAAACCTACATGCGACTATATATATGCGCGTAAGGTTTAGGTATTCGGTTAACGCTCGTATAAGGTATTCATTATTTTGTAAGCATTCTTGATATTCAATAGAAGAGAGTTTTCACTAATCATTCATATTCATATCATTGTTTGATTCTCTGTTTCTGTTATATCATGATGCATCCATTCTGCTGATCTGTAATTTCATATATTGGGATGGGACCAACAAGTGGTATTGGAGCGAGGTCACAGGTGAATCTCCCGGCTGATGCTGGGGGTGATTGTTGGTCTTATGGGGGATAAGCACCACCCTTTGATTCAGGGACTAACCGCCCAACATGTTGGCACCACGATGTGGTGCAGCCCCTCATGTCCATCCACTGCTCAGTGGTGGAGCTCTGCATTGTCGTAGTGAACTGTGGGGGGTGCCCCACACGAATCTACCTTGACTTGGGGACTACAGAGTAATGAGTTAAATAGAGGGTGCTCACTTCCTTATCACCAATTGGTTTTAAGAAAGATATGACTGCTATTTAACCACAAAACTCTGCAGTTAAGCGAGCTCAGGGTAAGAAAGCTCAAGCATGGGTGACCCATTGGGAAATTTGTTGAATCCGAAAAGGGGTGTATCGATCCAACAGAATTTTTAGCTGAAATTTTGTATGAGTAAACTAGACTTAATGAAGAAGTTGCTCAAAAAAAATCATCAAAAATTCCACCGGGAACCTCCCCAAACGCCGATGGCTGGACAGAGCCTCATATAAAAGGGATGATTTGCATTTTTTCGGTTAGTTCGAGGGCTTATTTGCACCTTTTCCCGCTTATTTAATCAACTTACTAGTGTTACTCCTTATTACCTTTTCGTTGAAGCATATTAGATAGTATATTTATTAGGTAAAAGGGTCAAATAGGTCCTCGAACTTACATAATAAGGTCAAATAAGCCCTTATATAGGAGGCTTTGTCCGGTCATCGCTATTTGGGGCAGTTCCCGGTGAAATTTTTTGATGAATTTTTTTAACATCTTATTTATTAAGTCTAGTTTACTCATACCAAATTTCAGATAACAATTCAATTAGGAAGGCATTCAAATGAATTCTTGAAGATAACTGCGCTTTTAACTGCGCAGTTATCTTCAAGAATTCATTTGAATGCCTTCCCGATTGAAGTTTTAGCTGAAATTTGGTATGAATAAACTAGACTTAATGAATAAGATGCTTAAAAATTTTCATAAAAAAAATCCACCGAGAACCACCTCAAATGGCGACGGCCGGACAGAACATCCTATGTAAGAGATTATTTGACCTTTTTATGTAAGTTCGAAGGCTTATCTCACCCTTTTCCCTATTTATTACCCTTCAATCTTTTGTTCACTTCTTGTTACTAAAATGTTTACTAATCAGATTTATTTAGAAAATCGACTAGGCATCGAATCTTATGTTTCAAAATGTAATTTTATTATATTTATTGGTCAAGAATATTTACCACTACAGTCTTGCACTAAATAGATATACTTGATTGAGTTAATTCTCGAAGCTTAACGATCTCAAATCTACTCTCCACAAATCCACTATAATAACATTTTAGAAGCAGCCCTCTTAATAAAACATCTGAAACAATAGTCCTTAATTAAACATTTATATAGACTAAACAGTAAACACGAACTTAATCTTTTTGGATATTTCAACCAAATTTACATTTATACACTATTCAAATATCACGCTTTATTTCCTCGCTGACCAATCATTCAATATCCATTTCCATCATGCAACATCTGAATTATTGATCTTTGTTGCACTATGTATTTTGATTTGTAGTTTAAGAGTTGGTTTATTAACATCTATTTGCCACTTTATCTATTTAATACGTAATTTTTTATTTCACGCACACAATTATATATTAATCAAAATAATTGAGTTTGAAATTACTTTTCCGTCTGAATTGATTGAGGTTCCCATAGATGATCATATTAGCTATTTTCATATAACTTTTTATTAATTTTTGTATTTTATAAATTATACTAAGTATATTAGATATAGGTTTTCCACAATTCAGCTGACTCAGCCACTTCTATAAGAATTTCATCAATTTTAATCATTTCAGTGTTATCAAATGAGCTCTAATTTTATGTTTTGTTTCTTTTTATTTGCTCTATCCTGAAACATCCGCACCCATCAAAACCCTAACACTTTCATTGGGACTCACTCACATAAGGTCATTGATGAGTCTAGATGTTTTCATATTGTTGGAGCTAACAAGCCCAATTTAACGAGCTTCAAACTCGAAATACAAGTTGATACACCCAATTGGCGTAAAAGTCTTAAGGGTCCTTTTTACATGAATCCCCGGAATGCCCCTAAGTCAAGACAAAGTGCTTTAACTCACAAAAATACGTGTAACCGAAAAGGCATCTGACAGGAGGCTAGGCTATTTTGGACTATTACAACTGAACCGGGTTAACCGGGTTTCAAAGGTGACCGGTCGAACCGAAGAGAACGGATGGAATGGGACACTTGTGCAGTAGTAGAACTGTAGAAGTGTACAAATAGGGCACCGTATTTTGTTTTTGAAACGGAAATTTCTATACGTATATACTCCGTATTACGGGTATATATACTACGTATTACGGAGTATATAATCAATTACTTGAATATTTATACTTCTGGCGCTTTATCATGGTCTTGTTCATAGTCCAGAGCAAACTTGGAGATCAAGATTGGAGCGAATGGATAAATATAGGGACTAGTATAATAACTCCGATTTTTTCTCTCAGGAGTAAAAACCTTCCTAATATGCGCAAGCTTTCACATTGTTATTAGAATACCTTAAACCCTTCTCTTCGGTTTTGCTGAGCCATCCCCAATGGCGGCTGACTCTGGACAGCAAACCATTACGAGTGTCAAGAGAAAATTGAGTCTTCCGACTAATCGAAAACTCTGTAAAGGTCAGAAAGTTGAGGTAATAGTTGCTGTAATTTTTTACTTTTTTTTTTGTTTCTTAGAAGGAATGTGAGATGAAGGTGATTGGAAAATATTAATCTGTCTATGTCTATGTACACTTCCTCTTGAGAAGTGATACGGGCTGGGCGTGAGTTCATCTTGATTTCGTCGGTTTTTGTTTCCCAACTATTTTTTTGTCGCTAAATTTTTCCTGCATTTGGTGTTTATGCTGTGGTTCTGACTTCTATCTGTGACGGAGATTGATGTCGGGGTCTGCAGGTTGCATGCGGATTTTCTTGTGTTCTCATTCAGTTATAGGAATTGAATTTTAGGGATTGAAGCTGTCATTCTTTTTCAGTCCAAGTTCATTTTCTGGGTTATGGTTAACTGTACATGCAAATTTTAATTCGGGTCTCAATGTGGGAAATAGATTTATTGAAGCCTTGAATATCTTTTCTTGCCCTTCTATTTAAGAAACTCTCCGTTCAACTTAATGAGTAGTTTCTTTCCTGGGCTCCATCAATTTTATGCCATTTTTGCTCTTCTTTATTTTTAGGAAAATCTGACTTCACTTAAGCTAGGGTGATAATGCAACTATTGCAGGTAAGGAGTAATGAAGATGGGTTCCTAGGCTCATGGCACCCTGGAACAGTGGTTTCACTAGGAATCTTAACTCGTCGGGTGAAATATGATCACATCTTATGTGAAAAAGGATTCAACAATTTGGTTGAACGTGTGAAAGTTAGTCCCTTGATTGATGGGGTCAAACCTGCTGAGTGGGACCCAGAGCACTACCGCAGTATGATAAGGCCTTTGCCGCCGCCACTTCACATTGTAAACAGGACTCTTCACTATGGAGAATGTGTCGATTTCTTTTATCAGGATGCATGGTGGGAAGGTGTGATTTTCGATCATGAAGATAGTTCTGAGAACCGGCATGTATTCTTTCCAGATATGGGTGATGAAATGACAGCCTGTGTAAACAAGCTTCGGATCACTCAGGACTGGAATGAGGTTTCTGAGGAATGGAAGCTTCGTGGGAGTTGGATCTTCCTTGAATTGGTTGAGGAAGTGGCAAAAAAGATTCCCCTTCTAGTCTCTTTGAAGCAAATCTGGTATGAAGTAAGGGAGAAGAGTGAGTTTAAGGACTGGACTTTTTCTGATAGGAGCTATTGGAGGGGATTGGTTTCCTTAGTCCTATTGGATAATTTTAAGCCTACCATCACACACTTTTTTAGTCTATTGGAATCTTCACAAGGGTTTCTTCAGGAAGGACAATCATTTGACTTTTCTCAACAACTTCTTAATGATCTATTGGATTCTGTAGATTTTACTGATGACTCTCTTTCCCTCAATCTTCCCAGGATATTTCCTTATAACATCTGTGCTTCCAATGTTCAAGAAACTCTTGCCAAGGAAATTGCTCCTAAGGATTTTGCTCCAACCATAGATAATGGTAGAGAAGTTCATTGTAAAAGTTCTGAAGTGTCTGTTGATAAAATTAAACATTCCAAAAGGAGAACCAAATTGAAGTGGTCTCCCATTGACCTTGAAGCCCAGTATTTGCCTGAAGCAGTGGCAGAATTTAAAAAGTTATATCTGTCAGGTTGTAAAGCTCCAGATGAAGTAAATGAGAATGTAAGAAAACATCTTTTACATATAGGCTGGACGGTTGAGTTTGCAATTGACAAGAAGAGTACTAGGTTCCGCTACATTCCACCTTCCGGACCTTCATTTATGTCACTTGCACAAATTTTCAAGGAGATGGACATAGAGTCACATGACACTCTTTCAGAATACAGAGGAGCCCAAACAAAGTGGTCTCCCATTCCCCTTCAACCCAAGCTTTTCCCTGAAGAAGTGGCAGAATTCAAAAGGTTTTCTCTGTCGAATGTCCGACATCGGAAAGATCTTTATCCTAAATTAAGGAGACATCTTCTGGGTCTGGGATGGAAAATCGACCATGCAGTTGGTATGTCTAAGTCTAAGATGCGGTATGTTTCACCTTCCGGGACTTCAGTATACACACTTTTAGATATTTTTAAGGATCATCAGGAGACTCTCTCTGTGTTCCCCCTGCATGACCAAAGAAGTGAAGATGGCAAAGAAGAACGGTCTCGCCCTTCTACGGATGAAGACATTATTATTGCCCCTGAGTGCTGTCCTCAGGCAGTGAATGACTATGTACTCATTATGTCTCCAGACCCACTATCCAGAAAATGTAAGAAAACAATCAATGCGATTGCAGATAAAGCTAAAAAGCATTTAGTTTTCAGCAATTGGAAAATCTATGCAGTTTGTAAAGGCATTGATAAGAAGGAAGTTCGATATATGTCTCCTGACGGAAGAATATTCTACTCACTTGTAACTGCTTGCAGACACTATCTCAAGGAGAACACATGTTCTGCCAGTGATGCATCTTGCCCCAGGGGGCAAAGCGAGTCTACACATGTTGATGTGGACCATGTTCAGCCAGGTCATAGTGAAGTGCAAAGGAAGAGGAAGTTGAGGGAATTAATTAGGGGAGAAGATGTCGCCAAAGGTTCTCATTCCGCAAGTCGTGTGCTAAGATCATATAAAAGAGCTAGGCAGGTGGGTCCCTCTTCCTCTCACCAAACGCCTCGTAGTGTTTTGTCTTGGTTGGTAGAGAATAATGTGGTTCCGTCTGGCACAAGAGTACAATATCGTGAAAGGGAGGATAGTCGTCCGAAGAGGGAGGGGCTAATTAGTAACTCTGGAATCAAATGCCATTGCTGCCAGGAGATTTATGGACTCAGTAAATTTGGAGCTCATGCGGGAAGCAGTGATCATTGCCCTTCAAGAAATATCTTTTTGGACGATGGAAGGTCGCTTCTAGATTGCCAAGTCGAGATGAAACATAAACTTTGTGCAAAGAAGAAAGAACCAAAGATAAAGAAAGGGAGTCAGCACAACAAAATTAATGACTATATATGCTCCATCTGTCATGATGGCGGTCAACTAATCCTATGTGACACGTGTCCATCATCATTTCATACAGGCTGCCTGGGAATTGAGGTGTTTCTCTTGAATACTTCTCTTTAGTGCTTTACTGCTGCTTTTCTTTGTCTTATCTGATGATCTCATGCGTAAGGGTCTGTTTGGATGGAGGGTTCTGGAGAGGAGGGCTTAGTCATTACGTTGATAAGTACAATGTTGCTAAAAGTGAATAAAAGGAAATTAAAATGTTTTATGATCACATATTATATTAATCTTTCAATTATATGTAATCTCAACTATATGTATCAAGATATAGATTTTGCCCACTAAAATACTCCCGCCCATCTAAACAGAGCTTAAGTTGACCCGAAAATGGAAGGGGTAGAATGAAATGATCTTCATTTTCAGTAAAACTTGATTTGCTTAAGCAGGAGCTTCCAGAAGGTGATTGGTTTTGCCCATTTTGCTGCTGTGGAATCTGTGGTCAGAGCAAAGATTTACTTGCAGATAATAATGCTATCAACTGTTCTCAATGCGAGCATCAATGTAAACACACTTGTCTCATTTTCACTTTAGTAATATTTGAATTTAACAGTACAGTGTATGTTTTACCGATTACATGCATGTACACACACATGCATTATTTTATGTTTCTTTTTTTACACGTATGACCTTGAGATAAATCTTTACAGATCACGTTGGATGTGTCAGAAATAATGGTCTTCCAAAGAATGATAGCTATCCCGAAGGATATTGGTTTTGCAATACAAGATGCCAACAGGTATGCATTGGCAAATAGCACAGAGTAAAATTTGACTCGTGCGAACTTGAATACTTTGAAATTTGCTGTGAAATGGAACAGTACATTTTGAGTTGGTGTGGATTCAAGAAGAATATGCTTGTTTGATTTCTTAATAAGTAATATTACTTTGTTAATACTGAGTGAAATCACTGAATTATATTTAAGTTGCTTTACACTAATATTTGGTTGTAATCCTTTGCAGATATTTCTGGGTCTTCATAAACTTTTGGGAAAACCAATTCATTTGGGGACTAATGACCTGTCTTGGACATTGTTGAAATACAAAGAAACAGACAAATCTTCCCTTGATGCTCCAGAAGATGAGGTTTCAATAGAGAATTATAGCAAGCTTAATGTTGCCCTTGGGGTGATGCATGAATGTTTTGAGCCTATTAAAGAATCTCGAACTGGGAGAGATCTCATGGAAGATATTGTTTTTAATAGATGGTGAGATTCATCTAGTACGACATGCATGGCTGCATGCATAATTAATATATTTCCTAAACTAGAATTTAGTTTTTCCTTTAATGTAAAAGTGTATTCATAAATTATTATATCTTTATGTGATAAATTCCATTTGAATGACAAGCTTAGCATTAAATAGAGTTGATGATGATTTCTGGCTGATTAAATTGTATACGTGTAGTTGTAGATCTTAGGAACTTGATTTAAGCTATTCATTTCTCACTTTCATTCAATAGAATAGATTTGAACTCTATGCTTAATGGTAAGCATTTCTTTCAGGTCTGAACTTAGTCGTTTGAATTTTCAAGGATTCTATACTGTCCTTTTGGAGAGAAATGATGAGCTCATTACAGTGGCTACTCTAAGGTAATTCATCATCAGGGTTGTAGAGTTAAGTTGAGCATTCTAACTGATGATGACTTCTTTCCTTACTTTTTTCGTTACCATGTTGACAATAACTAAATCTTTTGAATATAGATTTTCATATGCTCAGTTTTGTGCTTAGCAGGCGATTCATATCGAGGCATGAATTTAACACTTCTCATTGACTAATCTGAAATGCTTTTCTTGTGGTAAGGGTTCATGGAGAAAAGTTAGCTGAGGTTCCATTTATCGCCACCCGTTTTCAATATCGCCGGCTTGGAATGTGTAAAATTTTGATGAATGTACTAGAGAAGGTACTCCCCACCCTGCCCTGCCTGATTTCCTTTTTATTTGTTCGTTTTTACCCTTTGAAGTTTTGTTTGGGATGATAACAGGGCTGTTGGAAAATCTTGACTCTGAGGTTTCTGTTTGTACACATTGTGGGCAAAGCTAATTGGCCCCATGGAAGGATTTTCATAGATATGAGAGCTTTTTATCTTAATAAACTGAGCGTCTCTAAAACTAATAAAAGGTGATTAAAATTTTATATGATCACACATTATGCTTATTTTTCAATTTCAATTTAAAAACAACTCTCAAACACAAATCACGATTCAGAATAATCCATCAGCCATCCCAATCCTTCTACTCTTGACCCTTCCAAAAACCTCCACCCAAGCAGACCCCTAGTGTTTTTCCATTTTGGCCAGGTGGAAAGTAGCTTTCCATACAAATTGGTTTTATCGTGTCAAATTGTTATATAATTGATTAGAATTGGTATATGTATTTCTACAGTGAACAATGCTACCACAATCAATTTAGTTATGCGTTATTTATCGAAGTATTTCATAATGTGCTAAAACTTTGTGCTACTTGCTTCCAGAAACTAAATGAATTAGGAGTAGAGAGGCTAGTTTTGCCAGCTGCTAAAAGTGTATTAGACACATGGACAAGCTCATTTGGATTCTCCGTAATACAAGAGTCAGAGAGGTTGGACTTCTTGGATTTCAGTATACTTAATTTTCACGGAACAGTCATGTGCCAGAAACTCTTGGCAAGAAAATACATGGAGTTGACTGTCTTTACAGGTTATTTAACATCTCACCTGTTCAAAACAGAGGTGCTGTAAATAAATGCATTCCCAGTTTGATATTTTGAGATATATATGTAGGTTCCACCCAACACATTTTCGGCACAGTCGATAAGTACAGTTCTGAGGTGGATGGGACAAGCCCTGTTTCTGAGGTCGTTCAAGCTGACCAAAATCACAGGAGTGTCATCATGGATCAAGGACCAGTCGAGTACGTTTTATTCGTTTGCTAATTTACAACACAAAATACCTCCTTTCGTCATCATCAGTAGGGCGGGTTATTGTGGATTTACGGGTAACCAACCTGCCTGAACCCATACTCAGCTGGACCACTTTTTAGCTTTATGTTCAAATTTCTGACTAGTTGCAACAGGCTCAGTGAACAAATTCTATCCGCAAGTGAAAACTATTATGGGTCAGGAAAGTTTTTGCCACTTTTAGTCCTCTGACTATTATGTCATTGACACTTTTGGTACTTGACTTTGATATTTCCATCGTTAATCCTCGACTATTATGTTGGAGACACTTTTGGTACTTGTATTTGAAATTTTTCATATTTAGTCTTTCGACTTTCATAAAAGTGACACTTTTGGTCTTTCAACTATTATAATAGTGACATTTTTAATCCTCCACTTTTGTGCTAAAATCATAGTGGAAGGACTAAAAGTGTCAATTTGATAATACTTAGGGGACTAAATGTGGGAAATGTTAAAGTCGAGGACTAAAACTGTCTTTTGCACAATAGTCGAGGACTAAAACGAAAAAATCTAAATTCGAGTATCAAAATTTCACTGACACAATAGTCGATGGATCAAAAGTGGTTAAAACTCGATCAGGAGATAAGGATGAGTATTCGTCAATCTGCCTCAATATCTTTCCTAGCTTTCTATCATCTACTTGAAAGAAGAAAATGTCAATTAAGATATCAACTTATTTCTACTTAATTATTCCATTTATGATTATCCTCCTACGCGCTAGGGTTGGGTCAGGTTTAAGTAGAAATTGATCAGGGTTGGGACAGGTTTAAGTAGAAACTGATCAGGTTTGGGACGGGTCCAGATTTTGCTAATTAGGTGAGTTTATATTGCATTGTTTTTATCACCATAGCCAATAGCAGCTAACTATCTTTTATGCTTTTGATTAGTACGCCGGGAGGAACCCTTACCAGCAGCAAAATCAACCAAGCTCCCCTACTTCTTATGGTACTATACCTTTTCATGAAAGCATGTTCTCTTAATTTTATGATGATGCACACAAATGTCTGCCTTTTCATGAAAACGCATTCTCTTAATGTTATGATGATGATGCACACAAGTGTTTGGGATAGTTTTTTGTAAATGATGAAGTATTTTAATCGAATTGCTATAAGCAAAGAAAAGTTTTAAACTACGTTGTGCAGGAGACGCATCTTTGTCAATGTCTAGATTGAAAATAATATTCCCCAATAAATTCTATTAGCCAAAAATACATCTTTTGAGTATTTGAGAATACAGTTCTCATTTGTAGGTTATTTGAATCAAAATCTATGCATAAAATGCTACTTTTTTAATTACGTTATTATGGTGTTCATGATAAAGTAATATATTAAAATTCTAAAGATTTTTTTGCACAATTACATTTTAATTAAAGAAGTAGGGACTTAGTTCACAAATACACTAGTTTTAGTCACATTTTTCATTTCCCGGTTCCCATCGTTCAGTCATAATTTTCTACTTGGCTTTATTTATAAGGGAAACCAATTAAAATACCAAACTTTGAAGGGGTGTGAGATTAACACCCCAAACTTGCATATGTAATTTAAATATCCCAAACTTTATATAAAAAGTTATTTTAGCACCATAGCAACTATTATTTCTTTCAAAAATGTAAAATTTATGGTGTTAATTGCATAATTTAAAATATTTTAGAATTCATGAAGACACAATTAACATTTTAAGCTTGCATTAGAAAATAAATAATGTTAACCCCAATCTATATAATTGCAACACTTTTAATTTTCTATTTTTAAATTATGCAATTAACCCCATAAATTTACATTTTTGAAAGAAATAATACATGAAAATGGTGCAAAAATAACTTTTTATTCTAAAGTTTAGCGTATTTAAATTACATATGCAACTTTGGGGTATTTACCTCACACCCTTTCAAAGTTTGGGGTATTTTTATTATTTTTCCCTTATTTATATTACGTGCTACTATTAATGCCCGGGGTGTTTCATTTTAATATATTGTTCATGATGCTCAGTTGAAACAAACTGCTGATGCTCCCGATCGAAAAGATGGTAACACAGAGGAGGTTGGTTTTCTTAAATGCTACAAGCGGAGGAAGAGACTCTTATCTGTTGAAGCCCAAGTGTTTGTTCATGGAGAGGTAACTGATGGTTAAGCAGCTGGTTATTTATTGAGAAGGGACCATCCAATATAAAAATTCTGAGTCTGATATTTTTCTCCTAGCTTTCAAATTGTAAATGGTGTAGTTTATGAGAGGAACAATAAGAGATCTATGGCTGCCTCTCCAAGACCCAAGTCTATGTTTTGTGTAGTGTACAGTTTAGGTAGTTGGGGTGTATTCCTTCAGCAGTTCAGCCTATAATCTTTTGGTGTAAAAAAAAAACGGTTTCCGGGAGGGTGCACACATGAATCAATTTTTTGCAGATTCCTATAACTCGACTGGACCGAGGCCCTCAATGGGTCCAGGTTCGGTAGGGGTTTGAAGACGTATCTGACCCAGAACCGTCATATATGCTGCCGGTATGAGTATATATATAATTTTATTTAGGAAAAATTGAAAATAATTATCCCAACTATTGCCGGTCCGCTACTAATAATCCCACTATCTATTATTCCTTGGTGGTCCCAATTATAGGGGCCATTTTTCAAAAATAGTCTCTAACCTGTTAGGCTGTTACAACCTGGTATAGCATGTCAAATTTAAATGCGAACTATGTGTAAGCTATAAATAATCTCAACTATAGTCGATCTTCTTTTATTAATCCCAATTATCAATTCTTAATTTAAAAAAAAATATAATAATGTTTTTACAAATGTATTGAAGTTAAATAAAAATATTTTTAGTCATTTTTTATTTATATTCACTAAAATTTCATTTTTCCAATTTATTTTTCCTAGTTTTGTTAACAAAGTTATGATTTTGTATCATTTTCCTTTATTCAATTTTACATGGGGTGTTTCAAAAAGTATATTGTGATTAAAAAAATTACGAATTAAATCTTTATTCTAGATTTTTTCATCAAAATCAATTTTATTAAATTGTTATGCTATCTTTATTTTATGTTATTATATTCTGTAAATTATACTCCCTCCGTCCCGGAATTATCTTCATTCTTTCCTTTTCGGTCCGTCCCAAATTTATCTCCTTTTCCCCTTTTTGGTAAAGAATATGTGGTTCACAATCATTCTTACACATTTCTCTCTCCTCTGCATAACTCTCCACCACACAAATCTCACTATCTTAAAATCGGAGTTAAATATGGGACGGAGGGAGTATGATATAGTGATTTGGGACATAAGATATGGAGGTATTGGCTATATTAATGAAAATGTATTAATATTTTAAGTTTGATGGTATAATTATCCCAACCATGGATAAGCGGGTTAAAAATTGATGTGCACGGTAACTATGTACGAATGATGATAAGGTATAAGGGGAGCTCACACGCGGTGACCACGCGCGAGTTAGAAGATAAAAGATTGTACATGGCGACTATGGACGGAGGTTAGTAGAAGACCAGGGAGTACGAACAACCATGGATGCAGGTAGAAGACCAGAGTGCACTACGGCCTTGGATACCATGGCGAGCTTATATATAAAGATGTCCACGGCGACCTTGGACATAGTAATAGAAGCTTATCCAAATAATCTATACATGGTGTCTCTGGACATCATGGAGAGAGCTACATGGCGACTCCGTACGACAAACTACATCAATGACGTCTTTTCAAGATATTCGCACAATCAACAAAGGATTCCGCAGATCCGGATTATTGATTTTGTTGGAGATATTTTATTGTGAATCAAGTTGGTCATAAATTAGCTTTATATTTATTCCTTGTATTTAAATAGTGCATAAATTAGATAGAAATCAGGCCAAGTGTGAGGCCCATTTAAACAGGCCAAAAGCCTGTTTCGCCTAACCTAAACCTCGCCTATAAAAAGGGAGCCGAGGTTTAGGAAAAGGTTGAACGTCGTACTTATTATTCATAGCCTTACGCTTATATCATTCTGCTGTACGTTCCACGGTTTATCAAAGAAGGTTTTACGGTGATTCATTCTGTGTTCATCTTTACGTTTAATCTTCCTTGTTAGATCGATTATTCATTGCTGTTACAGAAACAGGGACTAACAATTGGTATCAGAGCCGAGGCGTGAAACAGGTTGAATCTGTCTGTGATTTTTGGATTTAACGAAGAACTGCTCTGTTTTTTTCTTCTGTTTTTCTACATGTAGAGATTTGCTCCTGTAATCTCGTTTGTGAACGAAATTTTGTAAAAATCATACTGTTGGATTCGCCTTTCAAAACCGATCCAGCAGCATACCTCTTTTTTCATTTTCTGCAAATTTTATATTTCGAAGATCTCTACTTTGAGATCTCGAAATCCTTATTTTTCACTGCTGCAGAAACGTTTTTGGCTTGAAACTGATACAAGAGAATCTCGACTTTCAGGGCTATTCAGAACAGGTTTCAGATTTTCAAAAATCAATGTTTTCGTTTTGCAGGATCTCGACATTTAGGGACTCGATTTCTTCTTCTCGACATTTGAGATCTCGAGATTTGCATCTCGACATCTTGATCTCGAGATTTGCATCTCGACATCTTGATCTCGAGATTTGAATCTCGACATCTTGATCTCGAGATTTGAATCTCGAAATCAAGATCTCGAGATTTGAATCTCGAAATCAAGATCTCGAGATTTGAATCTCGAAATCAAGATCTCGAGATTTGAATCTCGAAATCAAGATCTCGAGATTTGTGATCTCGAGATTTGGAATTTCGAGTTTAGGAATTTCGAGTTTTGGGATTTCGACATTTGGGATCTCGATGTTTTGGATCTCGACATTCTGAAGATTTCGAGATTTTCAAAATTTCTCGATGTTTTGAATCTTTCAAAGTTTGCAGTTTCTTGGAACTCATAATTCGAATCTTGACATCCTTTGCAGTTCATCGAAGCTTTACATTATAAGGATCTCTGAATGATTCCCTGCTTATAAATGTTTCAGGAGTTTTCGATGTTCTGATGTTTTTCAAACAGCAAGTTTTCGAGATTATGAGGTTTTCGAAACTCCAAAGTTTTCGATGTTCAAACATTTTGAAATTCTGCAGATTTCGATATTCTGAGGTTTGTTTTGCAGGTGGATTTCGCCATTATTCTTCGAGGCAATCTCTAGAATTTTGTTTAAAATCCACCTTCTCTCGACATTCAACATCGAGCACCTCATCTTCGAAGAAATTCCTCAAAAACTCAAAATTAGAGATTTTCTGCGACACCGCACTGTTTTGGCCATAACTTTTGACTCGGTGATCCGATTTGATCAAACTTTTTTTTGTTGGAAAGCTAACGAGAAGATCTACATTAATTCTTGGGCTACGCCCCAGAACCCAATCTCACGCGCCCTCACTCGCCGTCTTTGAGGGTCAAAACGTTAGTTTTCCGACAAACATTGTAAATCACCGATGTCCAGGTCAAAACTTAGGCAAATCTGTTCAAATTCTTTCATTGTCAACCCTGAGGTCAAAACTTTTCTAAACTTCAATGTAAAGGTCTGAAAATCGTAGATAATTCAATCAACCTCGCGTCAACGGTCATCTTACAACAATCAACAATCAACTGCTGAAGCCTCCCCTGACTCATCAACATTATGTGATCATCAACATGCTGAAATTCTACATGGTGAGCTCAGGAAACCGTCATGTGTGGTACTTGTTCAGATTGCTCCACACACATGGCGGGGATGACAAGCTGTGAGCAATCAATCCTTGCACATTCTGAGGGGAAGTTTCAGTTTTCTCCTCCTGGCGCCTTACACCGACAAAGCAAGGAATCTCTCAACGGATGCTACATTCTAGGGGGAGTGTTCAATGTTATCCTCCCCGGTGCCTAACAATGACAAAGCATTCCGAGTGCTCCAGTTGAGGGGGAGTACAGAGAGAAAATGAAGAAAGTAATGAGAGAACATGTCCCTATGGCTTAGTAAACCCAACTAAGCCTACCCAAGGGACAAAGCCGAGCGTAAGTGCGTAAGTGAGCGAGTGAGTGAGTGAACATTATGAGCATTAGGAAGCAGAAGGCTCAAGTGAGAAGAAAAACAATTATCAATGATGAGTCTGCTACCTCAATTGCCTGCTATGAATTGAACATTTGCTCCTAGCCACTAAAATACTCTGGACTATCCCCATAGGTTCAGGACTGAATTTATTCAGATCCCGGGTAGAAGTCGCTGCATTTTGTCCAAACGGCGCATGCACAACCCTACCCTAGACCACTCACTAGTCTCCCAACAGACAGGTGTTTAATCATAGTTCACGGGGAACCGCATCTCTCATTACTGTCTCCTTCCGAGGCAAGTAATACTGACTACAGTGGCCTCAGTCCCATGCCACTGAACTTTCATTGATCACGTCGTGTCTAGTTACTCACTTCCCAAATGTTTTGAAATTTTTCTAGGACACAGACACATTTTAGAGTCAGTTGCTAGTCTTCAAGACTTGCGAGAACTTCCATAGGGCTCATCTATTACAGATGTAGACCAATAATTGGAAGGAAGTCCTGCTGTTGCAACATAAGAATCACCAACATTTTCAGGCCATTGCTTTAGAGTTTATCATTATAGTATGATAACGGGTGTCTTCACGACCCCGGGGGGCTACGTTATCTTTTTTAGATTCTGCTTGTTTTTCATGTTTTTATTTCCGCAGAATAAAAGAATAAAGGCATGACGCCCCGAGTTATCGGATCGTCATGAGGGGGAGAGTGGTCCACATGCTGTTAACACTGAACAAATCATTCTGGGACACTTCACTCCTCCATCACAAAATTCAACACCCTCTCTACTATCTCCGCAACTCAAATCAAATGGTCAGCTACACTCACAAATCAACCATCATTATGTTCCGCTGTGCCACCGACAAGTTCTCCTCAAATGCATTCATTCCAAATAGTCAAAAAGACTACATTGTGGAGGAGACAGAGGTCAAATACTCGTGTCCTGAAGATGAATTCCATGGGCGTCTCCTATTCTCCAAAGAATATTCATTCTAGAGGCGTCACCAGACTTCATCCAAGCTGATCAAGAGCAACTTCTGGAAGGCAAGGACTACATGCAAGATACAGAAGGTCCCTCAACCCCCGGCATCAAAGATCAAATTGTCAAGAAGACATCAAAGGGGAGATTGCAAGGATTTCTTCAGATAGCCTTCCTCGGAAGTCAAGTTCAAAGACAAAGGAAGCTCAATAACAACAAAGACAAAGATATCTGCGCTGCAATGCTGATTCAACACGATTGATCACCAAGGGGGAGATTGTTGGGAATATTTTATGGTGTTCAATCTAGTTAGTTATCTTTGTATTTGTGTAGTTATTAA